GGCCAGCTGAAAGGATGCAATTTATCTCCATCAGAAAAGCATATTTTTAATAAATCCAAAATATTATGAATTCATTTTTAGAAAACTGCCAGAATCCTGCAGCAGCAAGGATAATCTCTGTCACCAAGGCAACCACCCCGATTCTTCATGAGATGGCACCACAGTTTATTAAATTATTGTGAGAGAGTATGTATTTAAAACGTATTCATTGCTCCTTTTTCATTAGCTACAAGGAAATAGAGCAAAGTGGGGGTGGGGTGGGGAATCCACAGCTTCTAAAATTGCCAATTTTATAAAAGTTTCAGCACTGATGACGTGAGGATACAAAGCACTTATACTGTAGTTAAATAATTGTTTTATATCCTATAAACTAAAAGCTTGTTGAAATACCATTTGGCAGGATAAGATTCTCAATACTTTTGACTGATCTATATAGCCCATGTAATGCCAGATATGGAAAGCACAGAAGTGACAAATTATGTCCACAGACAGCTCAGAAAAATATTTTCCAGGTTTAAAATGCAAAAAATTTATAAGGTGCTAGAAATGAATGCAAAGAAAAGCTTTCTAATAAAATATATCACACAAGGTCTTTGATCAATTGATGTTACAGCACTGCTACAACTCCTTCAGCAAGTTTTGTTCTATTGGAACAATCTGTTACCTCTGCAAATGACCACACTACATGTAATGTGTTCATATAGTAGTATATTTTATTTGTTTGTTTATATATCCCATCTTTATATTTTTACAAATAACTCAAGCCAGCGTACATATCCAACACACCTTCCTCCTATTTTCCCCACAACAACCACCTTGTGAGGTGAATTGGGCTGAAAGAGTGATTGGCTCAAGGTTACTTAATATAGTAAATGCAATGCAATGCAATCCAATGCCATACAAACATATAATCTGTTAAAATATATTGAATTGAAAAGTATAAATTTTATTTCAAAATTTATATTAAGTGACCAGATAAGCCTCACACTTACTAGGGTAATATCTTTGATAATATCCAAGCAAATATAAAACTGTAAAAACACTTGAATGTTAATGCTGTAAAATGTTAAAGCTGTAAAAAAATTAATTACAGTATATTGATATTTTCCCCACATAAAACAATTGAGAAGAGAGGTATAAGGCGAAAGAGACATTTATGTAAAAGAATCACCTCATCAGATAGAAATGGGAATCACTATCAGCTACCTATTCTCTTTCTCATTAGAAACGAGAACAGTATCTTTACATGCCTATTTTAATGGTTTGAAAGATCCTATTTCTCAGCTCATTAAGGCATTTCAGTGTCTTAGAGGCTTAACACAATTTCTTTCCATAGAAGGTATTTCCACTTGGCTTAATACATGACCATACACCACAGTCAACCTGAAGAATTTATAATTGTTACAACATTTAGCTCATGTTCCCACTTATACAGTTTCTTGTGTAAGATATTACAAGAACACTAGTTAAAAACAATCTAAAAGGAATCACTTCACTTCCTACAGAATGCAATATGAATTCAGCAAGTCAAACTCATTTGTAAGGGGAAAAAAAAAGTATGAGGCAAGTAAAGGTATCCTGACCTGCAACAATTTAAAATTTCAATACATACTCACTGTAAATGACAGATGGAATTTACACTCTGCCATTCTGTTGGGAGGTGTGCTGTGGTGCTACTTTTAAGTCATTTGTGTGCCAAATTAAACAAGGAATCTATGGTAAAAATCTTAACTGTAGAAAAATAATTGGAATCACCATCACTAAAAATGTGTAAATATTTAGATCAGTCTAAATATGGTTTGTGCCAGAATCTCTTATTTTTCTTTAATTATCTGTTAAGTATTTTTTTAAAAATCACAAGGAAATCTGCTTTTTCTTTTCTGCTCTCTTTTTAGTCAGATTCTAAGGCTGCCCACTCACCAATGATTTTAGGCCAGGGGTGGGATTCTACCAGTTTGCACCTATTCACTAGAACCGGTTGTTAACATTCCATGCAGTTCCAAGAACCAGTTGTTAGAAGAAATTACTGGCCTAATCCTGTAAGGAAGGCAGGAAGGAAACGTTCTGGTGTTGCTTACAGAAACTGCCTCTCCGTTAACCCTTATTACATTCTTGGCAGGACTAGACTTCCTGTCTCAGGAACTTCTCTGGAGTTTTTTTCCCCCTCCTTTGCTGGTACTTTGCTTGTGTGAAATAACCATTCAAAGTTACAATGGCACTGAGAAAAGTGACTTATGATCACTTTTCACACTTACAACTGTTGCAGCATCCCCACAGTCATGAGAGGCCATGCAAAGAGATGCGTGCCTCAATGTGAGTGATATTGAGTTGGCCACGTCCAGCCAATAACATGACCACCAAGCCACGTCCACTCAGTCATATGACCACCAAGCCACACCCATCAACTAAGCCACACCCACAGAACCAGTTGTTAAAAAATGTGAATCCCACCCCTGCTTTAGGCAACTTACAGAAATAAGAATGAGTTAAGCACATAATAAAAAGCAACTATACTGAGAAGAAGACGCAACCCACATCACAATTAGTGGGGTTGCACAAATGCATATCATCACTAATCCAAGGTTTCTGGAAAGAGCCAGGTTTAAGTGCCTTCCTAAAGATCTATATAGTCAAAGTAAGCATGGCTGCAGAGGAGGTACGCTTCCTGGATCCCATAAAAAGATACATCAACCCATCAGTAAAGCATTCCAACCTTGTCTCATCTTATAGTATTGCAGGTTACTTTTGCTGACTGCCAACTGCCTGCAATTTGGCAGATCGAATCTCACCTGGCTCAAGGCTGACTCAGCCTTCCATCCTTCTGAGGTCGGTAAAATGAGGATCCAGATTGTTGGGGGAAATATGTGACTCTGTAACAGCTTAGAGAGGCTGTGAAGCGATATATAAGTCTAATTACTATTTCTAGGATAGGAAAAAACAACTAAACAAAAGCAGTCCTGCAATATCATATCTGTAATCAAGACTAAGATGTTAAAAAATATCCTGAAAACAAGCAATACCAAATAACTTCTATACTATTTCCAAGACAACTACCCAACCATATCCAAGAGGTCAGCAGGACTCAAGCTTCACTCAAATGAGACTTGATTTTAATATTCATTTTTATATACAGTTTCTAGTAACTTGCTTCTTTTCTACGCAACATTCCAAAGTATACATCTTAGATTCTGTTAAGTTTGGGAAATGAGAGGCTGAACCAGAGCATGAGTGCAACAATACTTTATTATAGCAATAAAGGACTGACCGTGCTTGCCAAGCCTGGAACTGGCTCGCAGCGATCAGCAACTGGTTGGACCCCGCAGCCTGCTTTTATAGCTGGCTGCTGGGGAGAACCAACCAATGAGTGAGGGGGAAAAACGCCCCCACAAAGTGAATGGACCTGAGTGAGAACTCCTAGAGTTCCAAGGACATAACACCCCTTCCCCCCAGATGCGAACACGCATAGTCTTTGAGGTAGACAGGAGGTTTATGCTGGCGCCCAGAACGGCGCAACTCTGGTGGGTTGTCTGTCAGTTCAGAGTCTGTAGGGGAAGGCAGGATCGGTAGGGAGTCACTAACATGCCCCTCGGATCGGGTTGGTTCGGGACTCGTAGGGCTGGTCACTGGGGACGTGCTCCCGTTGACTGGTTCGGACTGGTCAGCCATCTGGATGCCGCTGTCCGTGTTCGGATTCCCCGGAATGGCTGCTGGCGTAAGCTGGTCACCGGGACTGATGCTGATGTGGGGTTGATGCTGAGGCCTCGCTCCGGTCTGCAATTCTGGGTCACTGCTGGCGAGGGTGCTGTGACGCCTACGCAGCTGGTCCAGGTGCCTTCTCCATACTCGGCCGTCCTCCAGTCTGACTCGATATGACCTGGGTCCGGTGATGGCCACGATCTTGCCTGGGATCCACAGAGGGTCTCCAGTGAAGTTCCTCGCGAATACGGGTTCCTGTAAGAT